ATTAACCATTTGTTTTGTTTCTCTTACTCTATTTAATTATTATGTTATTTTGTAATAAATATTTAATTTTAGGTATGTTAGAAAAATGCAAAAATATTTAAGTTGTAAATTTTATTTTAATGTATGGATTTTTATTTGGTTGTCATGTCGAGCTAACAAGTCTTCTATTTATTAATAATGAATAGAGGTTTCAATATATTTTATCCAAGTAATATAAAGTGCTAAAAAACTAAAAAATGTATAAAGAGTTAGGTCGAGCCAATTTTATTTAGCATTCTACTTTTTTAAAAAAAAACTTTTAACTAATTAGATTATTCCTTGACCTATCAATCGTGCCAAGATTTTAATTAGATATGATACTAAATTGACAAGACTCCCAAATTCGAGCTCGGCGTTAATTTAATATGATTCCACAATAAAAAAAAATACAATCCTTTTTTTTTGAATTTAGGCAAATTGAAAATAAATTTACGGATGAAAAAAAATCAATTTTGTACTTGTGTTTTAATTTGACACACTTAGCTAATTAGGTTGTTCCTTGACATGCTAATCATATCGGGACGTAATTGGATTCGATGCTAAATTGATGTGACTCTTAAATCTTGGGACTCGTCGTTAATTTAATATGATGTCATAAATAAAAAATAAAAAATCAATTTGACTAAAACAAAAAATAAATTTTGAAATAAACTTAGGAAATAATTCAATAAATATAATTTTTAGGAGATATTTTTAAGATGAAACCAAACATGGTACCTTTTTTCGGAAGAAGTGCCTTTGGGTGATTGTTATCTTCCTAAAAACATAACCAATTCCTTATCCAAGATAAAAAAATCTAATACTAAATCCAACTAGTAGGCCTAATTAATCCAACTCTGTTGCTTGGATGAGATTGATAATGTTTGGAATCTTTTTTTCTAGAAAAAAACACACTAAGACGTCGCCTTATTTGCACACTTGGCCCAACTTGCTTGCACAAGTCCGTTAAGAGTTTTTTTAGCTTTTCGGCTTTAGCCTATGCGATTAAGCCTTCTTGAATGATGAATGGATTCTTAAAAGTCCTTCATGGATCAATTCCTCCACAGTTCACATCATGAGTTTTGGTTAATGTCTATGTAAAAAAAAAATCATGTTCTACTTGTAAAATCGTTATTCATCATTATTGTAAAAGAATATTGTTTGATTTATTTCATGGAACAAGTTGCAATTTATTTCTTAATTTTTTTGGTATTATTGTGCCACAAAAATAATGATGTATTTGTTTAATTTCTATAATTAATGAAATTACTATCTTTTATAAATAAATAAAATTAAAATTACAAAAGTCATGGTTTAGAACAAAACTACACTAAATAAGTAAACCAAAATTAAACAAAGTTTTGCTTGGATTTAGCAAAAGGAACTAGAATCATCTTAGGTGCGGACTTCCACATTGTTGGTCTCAAAGCATGAGCATGGATCAGTCTCTACCAGATAGTATTTGGGTTTGTGTTTGGTGCGACAAAAAACAGGCCAAGCCTGACCCTTATGCCTACTTCTCTAATTGCGGACTCACTAATGATGGTCGGGCCAATTTTTGTTTGACAATGAAAATGGATTAAATTTTAAAATTGCTGTAATGTCATGGAAACACCAAACAACAAGCATTAGTTTTTATTTTTTAATCCATGCAGAGTACTTGAATCATGTTTTTTTTTTTTCTTTTTCAGGTACTGCATTCGTGGCCGTTGAAATCAAATTGATCATTCTTGTAAAATAATTTTTTCTTTTAACTTAGGTGATATTTGATAAAACTTAAAATTAAGTACTTGAATTTTAAGTACTGAATATATTTTAACAAGTTGTTTTGTATTTACTGAAAATTAAGTGTTAAATATAATAAATTTATTTGATAACTACTGTTGCTGAATATATTAAGGTTATATAAATAATAATTTTAACCTTATAATTATAATATGATATTTTATTGATAAACTTGAACAATAACTACAATTAATATTTTTGAGCAAAGTCGAGGCTCTTTTATTGATCATAACGGATAGTTCCGAATCATATAATGGATTTTTTCAGTATTTATACTAAAAACGGAAGACAATTTTCGAAAACGGATAGAAGGTAAGCAAAACTATATAAGGTAATGGAGAGAGTTTACTACTTTTTCAACTATGCTCATGTATGGATTGTGCTTAGGAATTGTGTCTTTCTAAATCACAAAAACTCCCTGCTCTAACCGAATTCCCACGTGAAGCCCTTGATGGATTTGAAGGATATCAACGGAAAATTGTACAAAAAGAAAAAAAAATATTGATGATGATGGGATTAGAAAGACACGAAAGAATATAAATCAAAACCCGAAACCGAAACGACTTAATCTATAAAACAACTTAATTTAAAAAAAGAATCGGACTTTCTCTAAAAAAAATGTGTGAAAAAAAAATTGATCAAGATATCAACGAGACATAAAGAAAAATCACTTGTAATGGAATGAAAGGAAAATTACATGCGATGGGATTAGACCTTGGCGTTTCGGATTTTGGGATGGAAGCACCGATAATGGAGAAGGTTTCCTCTGTTTTGACAATAAGGATAATAGAGATAGTTTTTCGAGTTGGTTTTTATAGCTAAAGTTATAAGAATATATAAGGGCAATATAGTCATATTTGAAAAGTTTTAAAAAACTTTCAATTTAGCGTGTTAATCAAAAACTAATAAGTTAAAAACTTTAAATTAACTAATTAAGTAGATTTTGACGAAATTTAAATTTTTAATATGAGGTTATTTAGGTTATCAAGCAAATTTTTTATATTAAGTACTATAACTTAATTTTTTAAGCTACTTAAATAGATTATCAAACACCTCCTTAGTTTAAACACATCAGCAATTACAAAAATAAAAAAAAAAGTTGGAGAGTTTACTTGTTCATTCTATTGTTCACCTACACTTAGTTATATTACTCACTCGACTTACATGTCTTATGTGGTTTTACTATACGAGTGATATTTTCATGATTTTTAGATTGTTTTAGTATTTATATATGAGTTTTATCTCATATTGTATTTTGATTTCTAAAGTTTTTAAAAGATTTTATTTTAGTTATCAACTTTATTTGTATGGTAGTTTAGCCTCTAAATGCAAAGAGAGGGGAGAAACAAAGAGATGAAGAGAGAGAAAGCCATAGTCGGACTCAATTCTAGTCTCTTTTGTCGTTGATCTTGTATTCATATTGTTTATATTAGTGAGGAGAGTATGTTTATGGTGGTTTAAATTCATAAAATGATTGAAAAAAATAGATCGGAGCTCAAAGAATTTTAATTTTTTGATTTGATTTGTTTTTTATTTTTTTCAACATGCATTGAAATGCTTTTTAAGGCTTCAAACAAGTTTATTAACCTTATTCAAGTAATTTTGAGGGCAAGTGACACCATTTGTTTGTGTTTTAGAAAAAAGCAAGCCACGTGGCGTTGCTTCGCGAGTCCAAACGTGCGGGCTTACCTAGGTTTTTTTTTTTTTTTAACAAAATATTTTTTAATTTTTTTGTTATTGAATTTTGTGCAAAAATTATAAAAATTCAATCGTATTTTTTTTCACAAATCTTAATAGTAATGAAATATATATGATAAGTTTTTAGAATTTAGAATGAACATATATATCGAATTATATTACTCTTATTATTTAAAATTGATATTTTTAATTTGTCATTTTTTATAAAAATTCTCATCAAATTAATTTTTTTATTTTTTATTTTATATAATTTTATTTGTTAATAAATATGATTTATTTTTTCTCTATGTATGGATTTTTGAATAAAATTTTAAAATTTTATGATTTTTTTAAAAATATATTGATATAATTTATATGATGGATTCCTATAATTTTTAAATGAGAGTATTAAAAAGTTAAAATTTTATTTTAGATCATTTATCTCAAAATTTAAAACAAAATAAAATTAAATAATCAATTAAAAAAATGAAATTCATGTGTTTTATTTGCTTCTTCTTTACATAATCAAAATTTATCGAAATTAATTTTGTAGTTTCTTTTATTTTAGTCTAATAACTTTAATATATTCCTTGCAACTTAATTATTTATTTTTAATAATTTTAATTTGTGTTGCACACTTTAAACTCACTATGCATCTACATACATAACACTAACCATATGGTCATGATGTATAAAAAAATTAGATTATTGATTTTATTAGAAATTAACTATGCATCTACATACATAACACTAATCATGTGCTATTAATATTTTTTTAAAATATTTTAAAACAAATTTCTTTCAAATAAAATAATTAAAATAATATCTTAAGAGAATCATCCATTGATTCAAATAAAATAATTAAATTTCGGATTAAATTTTATATTTATATTATTACAAGTATTAATTTAATAATTAATACATAAAAAAGAATAAATTATGTTTTTTAACTACAAAATTTATATATAAAAAAGAATAAATTATAAAATTAAATGATTCGTTTACTTTTAATTCAAAATATTTTAGTAGATCCGCTACAAAAGATAGTCTATCAAATTAAAATAAAATTTTTCAAATACTTTTATTGTTACCTCTTCATTTCATAGCATAGATAACTAATTAGTTTTAAATTCGAATTCTTATCTAATATTTTCTGAAAATAAATATTTAAAGATATTCCAAAAGTAAACGAGGATGAGCAAATACAATCATGGTGTTCATATAAGAAAACAAAATTCATCCAAAAAATAAAAATAAAAACAAAAGAGACAGCACTTAAAAGTCAAACTCAATAAGAATCTTTTATAATCCACTCACAGAATTAAGTTTTGCAAACATATCGTCCATTTCATAGTATTAGCATACTCACCACTCGCTGAATTTAGAAAAAAACTGGATTAGATAGGCAGTGCAAAAGATTATTTCTATGGCATAGATAGTATAGGTAATTTCAAGCTTGTTCTCACTTAATTAGCAACGTCCTTTTCCCATGCAATGTGCATGATCATCATCCTTTTCAATTAGTTGGAGGGAGGACTAACTCTTGCCCCTTTTGATTTTCTTGGGTGGCCACCACATCCCCATGGCCAACAGCCTCCTTGGTTGCCCTCTCCATCACCTCCTCCTCCCCAACCCCAACCTCCTCCTTGACCGCCTCCTCCACCACCTCCACCATTTCCACTACTGCCTCCACCGCCGCCGCCACCACCACCACCTCCGCCACCACCACTGCCACCGCCAGCACCTCCATGACCCCATCCATAGCCTTTACCATTCCCTCCACCACCACCGCCGCCGCCGCCGCCACCCCCTCCTCCACCACCACCTCCACCGCTGCCACTGCCACTCCCCTTTCCTCCTCTTCTTTTGTGTGGCTTACCCTTTTCTTTTCCATGATGACTACCACTACCACTCCCACTTCCATTTCCACCTCCTCCTCCTCCTCCTCCACTACCGCTTCCATTACCACCATTGCCACCACCACCACCACCTCCACCTCCTCCTCCGCCACCGCCACCACCTCCTCCTCTCCCGCCATTGTTTGTATGACTGTTGTGTTTGAATAAAGCATCTCTATAACCCGAGTCTGTTTTTCCTTCTCTCATATCATCATCAACATTGTGGCTTCCACTTGAAAGCACATGATTTTTAGTAGTGTTAAAGCGAGCCACATCGTTTTTTTCCTGGGGATCATTTAGCCCAAGAACCAAAATTGGGCTAAACACCAATGCAAGGAACAACAATGCTCCAAATTCTCTTGCAATCTCCATGAGTTTTTCCTGCCTCAGCCAGAATTGAAAACTTACATTCTTATAGTCTTTGATCCCCCTTGAAATGGCCATTGACAGCTAGATACAGTCCCCACAAGAACAAACTAGAATGCAACAAACTCATACCCAATTTCATAAGGCTGCAAAAGGAACCATAAACTATCCAGGATAGATTACTATTCTGCCTTGAGGCCCAATCTGTCCCCACCCTTACAATTTTTGTGACTAAAGCACGCTAGAAGGGGGCACTATGGGCTCACCTCACGCCAACTATTAGTTTAACATAATAGAACAGCACCTAGTCTCTTCTTTATGACACCAAGCTGGCAAACTAACTCTATAGCAATGAGCTTCAAATGCCTTTTCCGAAAATTAATGAGTTTCTATAGCGCTCTACACTTAAAATGAGCACAGAATTTTCCAATTTGCATGACTGTAGTTGTTGATCAGATTTCACAAGTAGCCCATCAGTCAAGTGATCATGAACAATAACACCCAAAAGAGGTTGTGCCTTTTGTTTTAATTAAAAAAAAAACACCCTAGAATTAAGGACCCTACTAAGATAGGCTATCCTTATCAAAAGCAATGATTGCACGTGAATCGTAGTCCATTAATACGGTGATATAACTAATAACCATAACTATATTATCCTCACCTCATCTTAAAAATAATACTAATTATATTTGATGTGAAAATGATAAAATTTGACATTTTTTTTAATGATTACGATTCTAGAATTATCGAATATTGTATATTAATTAAAAAAAAAAATTGGAGACTTTACAGCTGACATGTTGGACTTTGAATTTGATTAAGCATATTAATGCTGGACCTTAGGGCATACATTAATGTCGTTTTCATTATCTCAATACTATACAACTAGATCCCTAGGGGGTCTCCCACTTCATGAAAGGTAGGACCATCCCACTGCCTATTATTTCTGGACCTTATATTTTTTAATGGAAACTTAAATATCCTAGAGTACTGCTTACCAGCTTATAAAGTGTACCTAGGTCTGCACGCATGAAAAGGGTAATCGCTTTTGCTATTTTATAATCCATGTGGTACCTAAGAATATTGGTCAATCCACTCAAAACAAACAAATTCTCGTCAACACATCTTTATGTTAATTATATTGAATTGAAATAATATACTTTGAAAGATCACTTTTTTGTACCATAAAAATCTGAAAAATGTGTGTATTAAGATATGCCCACTACGGATTGATTTCATTGTATTCTTTATCAATATATAGTCTAATACTTTGCTTGAAGTGTATCCCAAATTTTTTCAAGAAAAGAAAAAGGTACCCTAGACATTAGAGTACATCCCATGCGGACTGTGAAGAGGCTGCCGAAGGAGGGTAGGCGATGCCTTTTACTTGACGAATGAGAATTGTTGAGGTGGGAGAGCAATGAATTAAGTACAGGCCATGTGGTAAGGATCAAGTAGGGTTTCAATTTAAAGGTAAGTTGAGAGGATGTGAATGGTGGAGCTGTGGATTGCGTTGTAAGTGTGGATTTTTGTAACTTGCTATGCCTGCTAAGTGCGTTCCAGATAAGACCATGGACATTCAGAATAATGCTTATATGCGGGCTACTAGCCATTATTAATTAATTTCTCCATGTGTGAAGGAATTTTTCTTACTATTCTAATAATTTTTTGGCATGGCCCCATTTGCATGGGTTCTTTACAAACATACATATACATACATAAATACACACACACACATATATACATATATACACACATCTAGATACACATATATACAAATATACATACATATATATATTCTCACAATAGATTGAGTGCTTGCTGCAAATTGATTGATCTCTTGCATTTTTTTCAATGATGGACCGACATTGTCTCATGCTCAAGGATGTTAAAAAATAAAGAGTAACCATTAAAACAAATTAATAAATTACGTAACTACTATCACTTATCTTTATTAAAGGAAAAATATTAAATTTATTAACAATGAAATTAGAATAAAAAAAGTTCAACAATCTTTTTTTAATACATACAACTAAATTGTTTGCAAAAAAATGATTTTCTATCTTATTGCAAAATCTTGTTTTAACTAATTTTATTGCAAAAAATCTTCATTGCGTAGTAACTATAGAGATAGAAGGAGTCAACATAAGACGAAGTAATCTAATAAGCAAATAAAATGTCTCTAATTTATGTGCTTCTACCAATACTTGACAAAGTTCAGTTATTGAACAAAATTTTTTTAATTTTAAATGATGAGATGCATCAAGAATAAAACGTTGTAGTTGAAATCTCAAAACAATTTTTCATTCTCTATAAAATTCACGGGATAGTATTTTTCATGTTTCAAACAATAAACATCAACTTCTTCGTGTTTTAAACCATTAGCATTAATTTCTTCATGTTCCAAGCCATAAGTATCCATTTTATGTTGCAAGCAAACCACAAGCACCAACTTCTTCCTATTTCAAACCATTAACATTAACTTCATATTCTAAAGCATTAACATCAACTTCTTCATTTTCTAAACCACTACAATCAACTTCTTTAGATTCAAATCTTGGACACCTAGAAGGCTTTTCTTGATAAGAATTTTTAATTCGCCCAATTTCATGATTGTAATTAAATCTTCTCTTGAAAAATGAATAATTATTTTTAACTTTTTCATAATAAATTGATAATTTCCTAAAACAATCAAACAAATTAATAATGTTGATTTTTGTATTACAAAAAAAGTTTAAATTTATGCAAATAAACTCAATTTTTATCTTCAATATCATTACTATAACAATGTCTAATTTTTGCTAATCAATTTAAATATCAAAGTATACCCATTTTAATTATATGCATATAAAATAATTTATTATAATTACCTCTTATTAGAAGACAATAAATCATCTTACAAGTCATAAATAGCATAATTTTAGCATTAACTAAAATCCTAAAATATTATTAAACTATAACAATATGCATCAAAATATAATTCGATGTGCTTAGTCACTTACACAGAGCCAATAAAGCATGACATAAAAGAAAAACAAATAAAATAATAAAAATATCATTCCACAAAAATCCTATATAAAACATTTAGAATTTAAAAAATAAAATAAATAGAAAGCATTATTTTGATGAATTTTATACTTTTGTAATAATTATCTCTTGATGATGCTAGAATTTAGTATCCAGATAAACTCTGAAGAAATTAATATTATTATTTGATGAATAGGACTTGGTGTTGGTGGAGTTGCATGAAGAGGTGTTTTCTTTGGTACATACTTGTCTGCAATAAAGAGATGTTTTCCTTTAAAATCGAAGTTCAAATGTAGGTCATTTTAACTGGATAAAAAAAAAAGTAGAATTTGTTTCAACAAATATTATATAAAAACTGGCTTGGATATACCACCGAATTTTAAATAAATCGAAGAAAAGAACAAAATCTTATGTTATTTCACTGACCAGTGACCGCCTATGGGCAACGAAGAGTTCTGATCATGTCTTTGGTAGGCCCAGCTTTCTGTTTCACTGCATCTAATGGGCCTTGTGGGTCATTTGTTTTAAGAAAAGACAAGAATAGCTAGGCATGATTCCGCCTAATGGACTGCTAGAAGCCCTACAATTTTTTTCTTCTTCTTTGTGATGATTAAAGCATATGCAGTTTTTTTCGATAATTTTATTTGTTTCTTTCACGGAATTGACACATAAATTAGGATTACATTGTTTGGTCTAATGGTTAACAAGATATGATCAATTGATTAAATCCTGAAATTAGCACTTACAAGAGTTTATTAAATTTCTCTCTGAATGCAATATAATAAAGAATATATCATTCAAATCGTTTAAAAAAAAGATTTAATTTCAATTAACGCATAAATTAGTTCAAATTAGAAACAAAAAATTGAATCAAAGTGATTCTCTTCAAAAAAGTAGCAAAAATAAAATTGTATTAGTCTATATAATTTATTTTTTAAATGAAAAAAATTCATTAATCAAACAACTTGTGAAAAAAAAAAAAAAAAAAACCTGAATATAGAAACAGTATATTATTATTCAAACTGATACCAAAAAACATACATTTACTTAAAACTCACAACAAAAATTTCAATACTAACACAACATATTGTATTTAGAATTTTCGAAAGCTTTACTCATCATATTAGTACCATTGAACTTTCTTTGTACCCGTAGGTGATAAAATACACATGTTAAATATTTTAATGATTTTGGAATTTTCATCGGCATTTAGAAGTAGCCAAGCATTTAGTCAATCAGCAGCCAAGTACTTAAGCATCAAAAGTTGGTGGCACAAAGCGTCAACTTTGTATTCCTCATCTTGGGTCTTTTTCATACACAAATTGATCTACGGGCTTTGCTGAACTAGAAGAGTTTTCTGTTCAAATTCAACAGTAGACAAGTTTGTACGAGTTATTTAATAAACTTTATTATAATGTCCCAAAATAGAAGACTCCAGTCCAGGCCATCCTTTACCATCACAAGTCTTGATCATTGGTAGGTGTATACATATATGTATATTTATTTTCAAATTAATGATAGAACTTCAAAAGTCAGATTTTTTGGCTTTTTTTTTTTTTAGTAAACATTGGGACTTATGTGTATATTCTACAATTTTGCAAACATTTAAAAACAAAAAAGTCAAGAATTTCAAACTGATATTAGACAATCTAAAAATCATCATCGATTCTTGTTTTCTATTTTTCTTAGCTTTCCCATTTCTCCCCTTGTACCGGTTTTAGTATACTTTGTAGTTCGAGAAGGTTGTACCATATACCTACTTTTACCAATTTATTTCAAGATTTTAGAGCAATCAAACTGTTACATATTCTTCTATGATCAATTTACAGTGAAAGTATATATAATGTCCAAGATTTTGTAATGTAAATTTAATTATTAAGTTAAAAATTAAACTTTTTATTTTTATAGAATACAAGATCCAATGAACTTTGAGCTATATGTTAGAGATTAATTTTTGCTCTTTCAGAAGTTTTTTTTTTTCAAGTCAATTAATATAATATCAAGCGGGTTTATCCACAAACACAACTACTAGTTAGCATCCACTGTTTTATTAAGTTTAAACATAGAGACGTCAAAGTTTGATTGATGGCAATAAATATTGGATTTTTTTTCTTTTTTCATATCTAGATCTTGTATTCGTCTAATTTTTTTGGGTTAAAGATCCCGAGATATTTATTTATTAATTTATTTATTTTAATCGTGTCATTTTATTAATTTTTTAATAATCATGTTCCTCTATTCTTACTTTGCATCTTAATTTCATCCTTTCGGATAACTTTTTTGGTAATTGCATTAATTTTAGTGACGGATTCACGGGATGTCGATATGTGGTATTTTTTTTTAAAAAAAATTTTAATTAAAAAATCCTAAAAAATCTGAAAAAAAATAAAATAAAATTCCAAAATGCATCTCTTTTTCTCTACCTTTAGGTATAAAAATAAATAATTAACTTCATATGTTTTTTTTTTTTTGGCTTTCTTTCATATTCTAAAAAAAAAAAAAAGAATTAATAAAATCCTAAAATGTCCATCTTTTTCCCTGCTTTTTGCTTTTATTCTTATGTTATGAACAAAATTTCATCTTTTTTTTTTTTTTTGGTTTTGGTTTGAAAATAAATTTTCATAATAAATATCCGAAACAACTTAATAAAATTTTGCTTCTGTTCTTTCCTATACGTAAAAATAATTGCAAAATCCTAAAATTTTCTTCTTTTTATCTACCTTTTGCTTTTATTCTTATGTTATGAAAAAATTTCATAAATATTTTTTTTTTTAGGTTTGGATTTGAAATAAATTTTCATAATAAATTTTTGAAATAAATAAAAAAATTTGCTTTTATTCTTTCCTATATATATATATATATTGGTTTGAATTTGAGAGAAAGCAAAAAAAAAAAAAAAAATTATTTTTTGAGGGATTACATTAATTAATTATTTTTATAAATAAAGGTAGAGAAAAAGAGGGGCATTTTCTAATTTCTTTTATTTTTTTCAGAATTGTTTTTTGAAAAGAAATGACACGTGTTAGCATCCTGTGAGTTTGTCGTCAAAAATTAATGCAGTTATCGAAAAATTTGGCCGGATAGATGAAATTAATATGTAAATTAAGAGTAAAGGGACATGATTATTAAAAAATTAATAGAGAGACAAAATTAACATAAATAAAATAGTATAGAGATATCCTAAACTTTTAATCCATTTTTTTTTATTGAGACTCTTTATTCTCTTTTCGTTTGATTAAAATCCTCTATTATTCGAGATTTGTTATTTTAGACCTTATATTATAATATTATCAATTAATATTCAACATACAGCATTGTTAAGTAAAAATTTTTGAAGAGATGTCAACTGACGAATGAAATTATAAAAAAAAAATGCTTGAAACAAGAAACTTTCAAGAGAAGGTCTCCATTAAGTAAAAAAAAAAAAAATAGATGGTCTCAATAAAAAATATTTAAAAAATACAAGGTCTAAATGTGAAAAAAAATCCAATAAATATATGTTGAATTTATTTAAATGATGCAGGTAGAAGCAATATTTTAACATGAGTATGGCCAGTAAAGTTAGGATGATCTGCATTAGGTAGAATTAATATTAAAGTTCCAAAGATGAAAGAGGACAACGGTGATTGACCTCGACCTTTTCTTCACCGTCCCACGAAGGGTCAAGTTAAGGTCATTTGAGGTTGCACCCTTTTTTTTGTTGACCATTCCATGTACTTTAACCTTTTTTCTTTTCTTTTTTTTTTGTTAAGCTTACATTTAGATTATGTTTAATATGAAATGAAAAATTTAAAGGCAAAGAGATAAGATTTAAGAATAAAATGATAAGAGATGAAAGTTAAAACAATTTGGTAGAGATTTAAAAAAAAAGAATAATATAGTAGCTAGGTATTAATACAAGTCCAATCAAATTTTAAATTAAATGAAATTAAAAAATAATAATATATATATTTAGGGTGCTAAAGGTGAAGTGGAAGGGAAAAAAGATTATTTAAATAAAATAAATAAATAAATAAAGAGAGGAAGGCACAAAATTCAAAATTCAATCCTACATATACCAAAAAGAAAAAAAATTACAGTTCAACTTTTATAGAAGTCAATGGAAACTTAGTTCTTATAGTTTGACTAAACTAATCAATTAGTCCTTGTTGTTTTCAAACTATATATTTGCTTTCTGTATTTTTAAATTCGTTTCTAATTCAGTCACTCCTTCAACTTCATGTTTTTTTTTAAAAAAAAAATATGGAAAAATACAAGTGAAAACATGAAAAAAATTGATTAGAAAATAATGCTTTTTTGAATAACAAAACTACTATACAGAAGATGCTTAACGATGATCAATGGATTATATATTTTTTTTTACACTACATGAATTATTTACAACGACGTATTTAGGTTCCCCTTGCTATTAAAAATAAAAATTCAGTCAACTTAATAATAGTAAAAGTAATCATTCAAGAGATTTGACTTAAACGAAAAGAGTTCTAATTCTTTAAATAAAAAATCTCGAATTCAAATTATTATATAAATAGAAAATTTATTCCATGATTATGACTGTTCGATGTATTAGATCAAATATCAAGAGGTTAATTTAAGATATCGTGAAGATTAAAAAAAAAAAAAGTAATCTCTTTTAATCTCACGGTAACCATCAGCACAAAAATCAAACGTGCATGACCAAATCATCCATGCATTTTCCTCTTCAAATTTACTGACAACCCATAGACTTAAAAGTGATCCTTGTTGTTTCAATTTGCAGCCCCTTGAATGCTACTGCAGTATTAATCAAACTTGGACTTGTAAACTTTCACTCGGCATTTGACCATGTGCTATGGACCTCTCTCATTGCTGAAACCTTGGGCTGAAATAGACAAAGTAACTACTCAAAATTCATACATTTGACATCGACATGATCAAACCGTAAACAGGCCAAACTTTTCTGGCTGGTTAGTTATTTAAGTAATAGAAAAGTACAGATAAGTTTATTTTTTAAAGATAAATCATCTATAAGTTCTATGATAATTTTGTTATACCAATATGTTGCGTTTACAAGTTTTTCTTGCAAATAAATTTGTATGTCCATGTTTTTCTACAAAATCCTTAAAAGACATTTGAAAATTTGTATTTATCTTTTTTTTATATATATATAGAAAATATCTTACAAACAAGTTTTTATATGTAACTCTTAATTTATATTTGTTTTTGGATTTTTTTCCTAAAACAATGTTTAGATGAAATTAAAAATTTATCCTTGTACCATTTTATTCTTGTTAATTGCTATAATTCTTAGAAAAAGTATAAAACACCTCATTATGCTAATGATCATTTAAAATTTTTATTTTTTTTAAAAAAAACAAGTTTTACAAATATGAAGAATTATTTTTATTTTATTTTTAATATCATAATTTGATTTGAATATATTTAAGATTTACAATAATGGTAATATAAAAAGATTAAAGCTATAAACTATTTTACAAGTGAGAGAAATTAGACATTCAAAAAAATTATTATGAAAGGTTTTTTTCTAAAGAAAACTAAAAAAAGGAGAAATCAATTTATTAGTAATTTTTTAAATAGATAGCACAATATAAAAATATGATTTGTTTTGGAAGATATAAGATAAAAATATTGTTATTGGTCTTAAAATATTAGCATAGAATTTAATGGTAATTGTTATATGTACTTTTCTCTTTAAGTGATAAAAAATATTTGGTCTAACTAATTAGCTTGATTACATTTGTTCATAAATAATTAAGATGGAAACTAAAGATAAAAAATTAATTAATTAGTGGATTAGTTGACATGGGTATAGCTCAAGGTCCAAATAGAGATCTAATCCTATAGAAAATATATAATTATTAATTTCAATTTCATCATTTATGGAGAATTAATTTTTCCAAATAGATTAAAGCATGATAATATCAATGAGCTTTTTTTTTGGTAGCATGATCATATTGACTTTATATCCAATGGATAGGTACCCCCTCCAAATTTATCACTCTCGTGCTGCATCCAAAGAATGGAAAACGGTAAGGGAAAGAGAGAGCAGTCCTAAAACACTAAAAGTTATATAAATAGTAGTGACATCTTCTCACCATTATAGTGCAAAAGTTCGTTGTCCCCATAGCTATCAAAGACTTCCATTATTGGGAAAAAAAAAAAAAAGAACAAAAAGAAATTCAAATGGATCCAGGCTGTTAGCATAAAAGTAAACGGTTTAATTCATCAATGATGATGAGAGCATTATGCGGTAAAGAAGGAAAAAAGAATGTGATATTTTCTGCCAAGAAATTGAAGAAATTAAAGAAGAAAAGAAGGGGGCAAAGGTTTGACAATATTATCCCATTAAGAGATAATAGTACGCCTGGTGACGTCAGAGTGACTAGACAATGAAGTAAGAAACCATGGCTAGCTAGCTATGAAAGAAATTGATCCTTGTAAGAATAAGTTTCAAGATTTTTATATAATTTTTTGTGTATTACTTGTTCAAAAGATTCATGTTTGTTTGTGTAGTGAGTTCATGTCAGTCATGAGGTTAAATCCTTATTGGAAAACATCGTTTTCAAAGAATATCGATGAAGATTAATGCAAGTCATCTTGCTGTGTAATTGAAAAAAGAACACACATATGCATCATCATTGAATAAGACTAGCGGATGTTAATGGTTCACCATATTGTTCTTTCTTAATAATTTTTAATTAAAATAACAAGTTCGCTCTGATCTCTTAGCAAAAAGGTTGGTGAAGTGCCTGATATTGCCCAATTCATTAATGGTTGTGATAACTTCATTTGACACCCATCCTTAAACATGGGAGAAAGCATGATGTCTCAAACATATATATATATATATATAAACCATTTAATTAGGTTTAGGTTTTCATCCCCACTCAGTATTAAAAAAAAAAAAAAACATTTAGCGACGGTTTAAATCATTTGGAAAAAACTTCTTGTTAATGATTTAGCGATGGTTTTTCTAGATCGTCATTAAATTAGTGATGATTACACAAAAAATTCATCATTAAATTAGCGATGGTTTTTTAAAACTCATCACAAAATAATCAATTTTTATGGAATTAACAATGGTTTTAACAAAATCGTTGCTAATTTCCAAAAGAATTAGCTTTTTCACCGATGGATTTGAACAAACCATCATTAAAAATAGTCTTATTTGATCAAATTAGTAACAGTTTTAAAACCGTCGTTAAAAATCAAAATATAACAAAAAAATTGTTATGGATTGTTTAAAACCATCCTTATTTCAAGTCTTTAGAAAACCATAACTAAAACATTGTCGCAAATAAAATATTTTCCGACAGTGACTTGGTAATTATTCATTTTTTTTATTTAGCTGGCTTCTCAATCGTGGACGAATATATATATATATATATTCTTTTTATTAACTTTTTTTCCTTCATATGTTGGCTTAGAGGTTGGTTTTGCCCTTGTTTGTTTGATTTAGCTAGCTTATCGGTCATGAGACAAATATGATTGTTTGTCTTTTTAATATAAGATAAACTGGTACAATTCGCATAAGTTTTGGGTGGAGACATTGAGTGTAAATCTTCTCATTGATTCGAAATCATGAAAATGAAAGATTAGTAAATTAATATGAATAGAGTCATGATCCAACTTTCTGCATTATCGTTCCCTAATATGAATTGATCGTGTAGATTTTGATGAGGAAATATAAATGAATGGCAAGATTTTTGGGAGGACACATACATATTTAATTTGGCATGGTTAAAAATATATAGCATGCAATCGACATTGGATTACAGCAGCCTCCCCTCTTAATTTTCTTCTTCTTCTTCTTCTTGTTTTTTTTTTTTTTTTTTTTTGTATAGAATTTTAGTACCATTTGTATGTTTGTAAATGTTAACACGCATGCAAGTAATCAACAAATTCAAGAGCTACGTTTTGTTGTTATTGATATACTTAGTCCAAGTCAACGCCTCTTGTTATATTCTGCTAATAAATAAAATGGATTTTTCCCATACATGATCTTTCTATTTTTAAATTGTTTTGATTAAAATTATATTTTTTTTTGCCGTATATTGAGTTTCTTTATTTATTTTTTTTTTTATCCCTCTACTGTAATGTTGATAGTTATAAAAAAACTCAATTAATAAGAAAAAAAATAGAGTCTCAATTAAAACAATCTGAAAAAAAAAAATATATTAACAGAACAGATGACATGTAATTTTGCTTTTTTTGTTTACTTCAATTTCTTTATATTATAAGAATATTGTAGTTTACTTCAATTTCTTTATGTTGAATTAATATTTTTTTGGGAGGAAGGGGGTGGGATTGAGGGGAGGGTGGTAGGTGAGTGTTTACTGTCTTGTTTTGTTTTGTTTTGTTTTTTGTGTTTTGCTTTTTTTGTTTTTTTTTTTTTTTCAGTTTACATTTTTGTCTCAGATAGGGTACTTGACAATTGATATAATAGTAACATCATCTGGGTCCCTTAAAGATTCGGGGAAGCAGCACTAAGTGAAGAAGTTGTAATAGACGTCACTATGTCTGGATAAAAATGAAGAAGTTACATCTATAAGCATATTAGATAAACTACAAACTTGGATTTTGTCCTTCATTAGCCAAGCAGGCTTTCAAAACCTTACCTTTCCTGTCGAGAAATAGAGAAAAGGAAAAGGAAAGGCATATCTATCCATCCACCTAACCCCGATCGCAACAAGTACATTCCTCTTTGCATGCATTTGTGTAAGCATGGAATCTATCGTTTGCAATTTTTCGATGATTGATTTGAACCATACGCCCAAACTGCTGGTGAAAAAATCATTACCCTTGCGGTTCATTGGTACTCTTAAAACTAGAGTAGACGAATACTTAGAATCGTGTACGCTCATCATCATTGTCAGAAGGAAAAAAAATACATGTTGAAAAAATCTTTCTTCCTCCACAGGGTCTGTTTAGAAAAACTATGATTTAGGCTGTATCTTTTGTTATGGCTGTGATGAAATCAAATCAAGTAGATATTAATCTTCATTCCTTGTATCTTTACTATTTGATATTTTAGTAGATATTGGTTTTTCACTTAAGTATGACTTGTTATCAATTCTTGTTAAAATTGGTTTTTTAGTTAATATTGAACTTGTTATTAGTCCGTTAGGGCTACTACACAAATAGGAGCATGAGTCTTATTTTAGGTTGTCTAGTGGGTTGAGTTACAATAAATTAGTTTGTAGGCTTTAAATAAATTAATTCATGCACGGTTAGTGTTGCATTTTTCTTTTTATTCAAAAGAAAGGCCAGCTCTAAACAAACTAGTTCATGTTACACATTCTTGAAGCTACAACTCTACATATATCTTGTAAGAGAAGACTAATACAATCCAAAAGAGGTGTGGGAAAATAAGAAATTCATAATGTGAGAGAGTAGGCATGAGAAGCAAGTCAATCTACTCGTATGATTGGTCTCTCTATAGACATTAGACACATAGACCATCCATGGTCATTGGATAATTTTACGAATATTGTAAAGAAGCTCACGATGAACCCTTATGCTACCATCACTTGAATGCAACAACTTCATTACCACCATGGAGTCGGTTTCCAACAAAATTTTTCTAAAGCTTAAATTCTATGTTAACTCAAAACCAACAAAGATTCTCCATAACTCAGGCACAAAGAACCGAACAGTACACTTATATAATAGGAGAAACAATGCGACCGAGTACATAAACTATCACAAATGACACCTCCGACAGTAGAAATGCCAACTAAATTATACGGGGCACCATCGGTATTGAGTTTGATCCAATCGGGTGGTGGTTTGAGCCAACCTATAAGAGTTTTGTGCTTGGTGTCTTTTTTTTAAACGAGATACCATCTTCATACTAGGTGCAATTGGGCTAGTTTAGGAGAATATCATATGTAGAGGATGGCTAGGATACATAAAACCCTTCTCAAAAAAGATTTTTTTACACTAGGACCTCAACATCCAACAATAAGTCCAAAACCATGTGCTTCGAGGTACAACTTTGGGTATTGTCCTTTAAGCCCATTGAGGATTAGACCAAAATTAATATTGAAGATTCAAGACAAAGAAGTTAAGGCTAACTCGTGGTGCGCCATAAAAACTCAAAATGGATCTAGCTAATAAACAATCTCTAAATACATGTAGAGTAGTTTCGGAATCAACATGACACCGGGGGTAAGATACATCAAATGAAAGCTCCTTGTGGAGTCTCTATTCATTAGTCGGCAGCCTTCCCTATATAACCAAACACAAAACGAGATCGAATCCTTTGAGGACTTTTCCGAGTGCTAACTTAAGTCCCATTTTCTAATTGAACCCATTGTGGTTGAAGAAAGGATAGACATATAAGCCGATTTGGTGAAGAACATACCATTTCTTATGTGAGTCCAACATGGTTTATTGGTCGGTAGCCTTCCCTGTATAACCAAACACAAAAAAAGATCAAATCCTTTGAGGACCGTTTCGATGCCAAATCAAGTCCCATTTTCCAATTGAACCCGTTGTGGGTGAAGAGAGGATTAACATATAGGCCGATTTGCTTGGAGAACATACCATTGCTTCGTGAGTCCACCATGGTTTATTAGTCAACAACCTTCCCCGTATAACCAAACACAAAAAAAGATCAAATCCTTTAAGGACCCTTCCAATGCCAAATTAAGTCCCATTTTCCAATTGAACCCATTATGGTTCAAGAGAGGATAGACATATAGGCCGATTTGGTGAAAAACATATCATTGCTTATGTGAGTCCAACATGGTTCATTGGTCAACAACTTTCTTTGTATAACCAAACACAAAAAAAGATCGAATCCTTTGAGGACCCTTCCAAGTGCTAAATTCAGTCCCATTTTCAAATTGAACATATTGTGGTTAAATAGAGGATAGACATATAGGCTGATTTGGTGGGGAACATACCATTGCTTATGTGAGTCCAACATGGCATATCATTAGTGCCACTATCTACACAAAGTAGCATTCTTGCAATTCTAAAAAAAATATCATTAGGTAGGAATAATGTAATCCTATTTCACATTTAATTCCCATCGGAGCGATATGCTCCTTAACATGTAGTCATAGGGATGTTATGTATTGCATGATCACATAAAGGACCCAAGTTAGGTATCTAATCATCGACCCAAAACCTAATCCAATTGCCATCTCTAATCGACCATTTAATATTGCTATACACTTACCGCCAAACCACCGTAAAGAGACTTCTTCATAGGTTAGAACCATTGCGAGAGATCGATGTTGGTGCAAGTGAATAGAAATTTTGTACTTGTCGCATAAAACTTGTACCCAAAAAGATGAGTTACATGAGATAACTTCCCATCCAATCTTCATAAGTAAGCACTATTCACATCTTCTAGCTTTCTCAACCCAAGATTTTCTTTCTTTTTCGATTCTTGGACCGTAATCTAGGAAATAAGATGAATTTTTTTTTATACATATCAAAGCTATCTCATACAAAATTATGATAGACTTTCTCAATGGCATTAACGAGTAGTAGTTGGTAACCTAATGACTCGCATACTATAAATAAGAATGATCAATAATACCGATTAGATCAAGGTGACTCTACCCATAAGAGAGAGATATTGTAATCGGCGGTTAGATAACCTACCATTAACCTTTTCAACCATATTCTCATAAGTGGAAATAGTTACCCATCTATGATGAAGAGGAACACCAAAATAACGACCTAAATCTTCGATAAGTGAAAGCCAAAAAAATTACTAACTATTTTGGCTCTACCATTTGAAATATTTGTATTGTAAAACATTCTTATCTTAGTAACATTAACTTTCCGACCGGAGGTGGAACAAAATTTATGAAGAACATCCATAATAACCCACAATTGGTCAATGTTAGCTTCAACATATAGGATTAGATCATCGACGAAAGAAGAGATGAGAAATAAGTGGTCCATCCTTGCTCAAGTAAATTAGCTTCAAATTACCATTATACACTTCGACTGGATTAATTGACTAAGCCACTCCATACATAATACAAAAAGGAAGGTGAAAAAGGGTCACCTTATTAAATACCTCTTGAAGGGTTAAAAGAGCTCGTAGTCAAACCATTAAAGGCAATCTAAAAGGAGGTAGAAGAAAGGCACTTCACAATAGTCTAACATAATTGATGAGGTATCCTAACATCTATCAAAGTGTCTAGTACAAAATTCCATCGAAGTTGATTATATGCTTCCTCCAAGTCTATTTTGATAGCCATCCAATTTTTTTAATCTTTTTCTCTCTACATGGAATGAATGACTTCTTGAGTAACAATGATATTGTTGGTTATATTTTTGCTAGGAACATAATTGACTTGAGTAGGCGCAATGATAAAAGAGAGGATATGTTTCAACCAATTTATAATAACCTTTGTAAGCACTTTATAAGCAACATTGCATAAGCCGATAGGATGAAATTGAGCGACTATTTTCGACACCTCTACTTTCTAAATCAAGACTAGTATAGATCTTGTAAGACTAGGTTCCCAAATTTTATGTTTGAAAATTTGTTAAATGAAGCAACATAATAATTTACCGACTATTAGCCATTGAGTACGGTAGAAACCTACATGCAAACCATCAAGCTCTAGAGTTAAGGGTGTTCATTTGGTTTCGATTCGGTTTCAAAACATTTCAAATACTTTTCGAGTAACTAAATTTTTAAAAGAAAAAAAAATAAAATTGAATCAATTTGTTATTCAAATTTTCAGTTCTATTTCAAAATATTTCGGTTTTGGTGTTTGTTAATTCAATTTTTACCCATTTTATTTTATTTTATTGTAAAATTTGAAAGAAAAATACAAGAGAATATATCAATTAAATAGATTAGTTCGAAAGTCTTGAAAAATGTTATGTTGGTAAGCAAAACAATGATGGGGTGATAGTAATGGGCGTATAAGCGAGTGTTAAGTTTCAAGTAGGCAAGCTTTTATGGGAAGAATCCAAAAATATACCATTCAATCCTTAATGCTTAGATGAGTCCAAGACATACAAATCGATGGAAAAATACTCCACTTGTATATTGCTACTTTTGAACTATGAATTATGAAAAGTACAATTATATGGATAGTAATATTCAATTTATATACATGACATCATTTGAGGTCGGATTCAATAATTAGTGCACGGTTCAATATTTTTAACAATCTCAACTATTAACATTACCAAATAAGCTAGCTACTAGTAATCGATATTTATTCTTACTTACTTTAACCCAAAAAAACTATTTACGTTCACTTTTTAGATACCCTTCTTAATCTATAAACATCTAGCAATCCATTTCTCCAAGTCATGCTCCCTCTCAATCGTTACTTCTCTCATAAATAGAAAACATTGAAAGTAACATAACTAGAATCTCTCTCGGTCTCCTCCAATGGCTACCCTCGCACATACATATATACATTTTTGTTCTCTCGCCTTAGACTTAAATTCTTCATGTTTTGTTCAACTTCTTCAGCTGAAGTAGATATCCTTCTTTCTTTCAAAAAATTTGTTGCCATCCGACTTTCGACGAGACTTTCAAAAATTATTTAAGATTTATTTTGTTGAACATTTTATTTATTTAGGAATACAAGCTATTATTATTTCGGAGTTGTCACTTAGTATTAAAAGAACTAGGAACCTAAAATAAGCACTAGTACGTAAATCATAGGGTAAGGAGTTAGTTACGCTTTTGGAAAGATATCGATCACCTAAAAACACTATTTCTAGAAAAAGGCATCACATCTAGTTTAATCCTAAAATTTTATCT